ATGTCCGTAAGCCCGTGTGCAGCACGTAATTAAAGAAATGTGTGTGTTTATGTGCATGCAATCTGCATATTTTTCTATGGGATGTGTATACATATGTATATGCACAGTTATATGTGCATATGTGTGCATACGTAGTTAAAATGGGTGCCCAAAATAGTTGGTTAACGAAAATTTTGAGGATTTCCTGCTGGATTTAATAATCAACTTTCAAACCTGCTTTGATTTAATTAACTGCTACGAGACGAGGGTGCTAATATTATTATTAGTGCATAGCGTCTAAATTTTCCAGAGGGGGTAAAGCTAAAATTTCAAAATCAGCCACTCCTAAGATTACTATTAGCCAGCAGAGACGATAAGGCAAAACGAACTAACATTTTAGGGAAAGTTTATGCAGTTATGGGTTAATTTCGATATTATCCTATTACAATTGTACTTGTCCCTCTTTTATTTAGTCAGCATGACCTTTACGTCCTGCCAATCGCACATAAATAATGGACTATTCCGTTTTGATTGCGTGGAAAGATAGGAAAAGCGTTCCAGAGAGTAAATAAATAAATAAGAGAGAGAGAGAGAGAGAGAGAGAGAGAGAGAAATAAAGAAAGACAGAAGAAAATAAAGAAAGAAAGACGGAAGAAAATAAAGAAAGACAGACAGAAGAAAATAAAGAAAGACAGACAGACAGACAGACAGAAATAAAGAAAGAAAGGAGGGGCGACAGAAGTGTTTAACTTCTCCTACCAATACCTCATAAATAATGGACTATTCCGGTTTAATCACGTGGAAAAACACTATTTAGTTCCATTGAGAAAATGAATGAATGAATGAAGGAAGGAAGGAAGAAAGGAAGGAAGGAAGGAAGATGTATTTAACGTCTCCTGCCAATACCTCATAAACAATGGACTATTCCGCTTTGATCGTGTGGAAAGATGGGAAAACACAACTTAGTTCCACTGAGAAAATGAATGAATGAATGAATGAATGAATGAAAGGAAGGAAGGAAGGAAGGAAGGAAGGCAGGCGTATTTAAAGTCTCCTGCCAATACCTCATAATAAAAATAAAAATAAAAAAGTAAAGTACTCTTACCTTATATAAAATATAGTATGACTGTACAACGACAATAAAACGCTTATTCGTCAAGAGAGAAGTCCAAAACAGGGTCATGCACTGTAAAATGTTTTTTCATTAAAATTTGAGTGAAAAGAAAGTATATGCTTACTGAATTTGTGTAATAAATTCAATACAATTTAAAATACGCTTAAGGCGGTGTTGTCTTGTACGACGAATATAGCCAGAAACTTAGATTTTAACTTGAACATTTGGGGGTCATCTTATATGCCTAGTCGTCTTGTACGCCAGCATATAGGGTAAGTATTTTCTGTTTTAGCGAAACAACTGCAATGTCGAATGTATTATCCTATCTACTGATCATACAGCTATGAATAACGTTGGAATACACTAACATAATTCCGTTGTGTACGGTAATGGCGAAGTAGACAGTAGATTAAAAGGAAATGTTGTTCTCGCCGACGTAGCAAAGGCCGCATAAGACAAGAATAACAGAGAAAAAAAATCATAGAACGATTGGTCTGTTGTATTCCCAAACTCGCCATATTCAGCTGACTTGCGCCAAGCTATTATCATCTTTTTAGATTGCTGTAAAACACTTCGTAGAGATTGAAATTCTGGAATCTTATGTCACTTTTCCACATCCTTTCAGGATTAGCCATCACTTCAGTGGCGGTCACGAACCGTGTGCGGATTTCTGCGTTGCAGATGCCATCTTTTGACAGAGTTACTCCCAAGTATTTGAAGCTGTACACTTCCTGTACACCGTGTTCAAGCTTTACAAATCGCTGGTGATATCTGTTATCCTCTACCGGTCTGAGACTTGCCACTGGTTGAGCCAGGAAAAAAGATCTAGGCGTTCGAGAAGAAATGCTTGAGAAAACTTTTCCGCACCTCCTACTGGGAGCACCAAACCAATGACAATGTCAAGGTCAAAAGCCACGTGGGCCACTATTAAGCGTCGGAAGATGTTATGGTTTGGCCACGTCATACGGCATAACAGCCTCTGCAAGACCGTCGTGCAAGGCACTGTTGAAGGCGGAGGCAAGATGAGACGGCAACTTAAGAGCTAGTCAGACATCAAAGTGTGGACGGACATGGCAATGCCGGAATTCCTGAGAGCCACCGCCAACAGATCTTCCTGGAGGAGCTTGTCTGTCTCTTGTCTGTCGGGATACTGAGGAAGAAGAAGAAGATGATGATGATGATGATGATGATGAAAACGCCTTGATGGGAAAAATTTTGTTGATTTTATCGAAAACATGTTTCACATCAAAACCTGTGGAATTTTACTCAAAAGATATTAAAGAGCGGTCCGATAAATGGCAACATGTCCCTGTAAATAATGGTGACATATAATTGAATAAAATGAAATTGCACTTTATTTATTTTTTTAATCAAGCTGAAATTATTTAAGACGCAACCTAATAATTTTTTTTTTCTTGTTTATCAATTCAGTTTTCCTCATTATTATCTTTTCGGTTTTTTTCAAATCTCTTTTTGTGAAATTTCTTTTTCTTCCCAATGTTTTCAGTTTCTTTTTTTTGGTTGTCCCGTTGTATCTGTTTAAGATTTTCACAATTTCTCGCGCTGTGTTCCCATCACAAGATAACCTTAGAATATTTCATTTCCCTTTGGAGATTATATTTTTTTACACCCTAAAGCAATCTTTATAAGTAGAAACTTACTAATACCAATAAACATACACGATTCAATCTAATATATAGAGATTGGTTCCATATCAACAATGGCAAAGGCAAGTCATGTATGAAATTCTTCATTATAATGACTGACAAGCAAAACGACAAACTTTCCTAAGGGCAAAAAAAGGACAAGAAGTTGCGGAGAGCCATGATCTCCTATTTCCTGATGGGAGAGTATATTGAAGATGAAGAAAAAGTGAGTAAACTTTTCTATTTGGTCGGTCTGCTCTACCCCATCTGCGATATTTAGCCGGTCATACACCAATCGATTATTACGTTTTTTCAATTACTGAAAAATGTGTTGTCGGAGGAAACTTTCTCTAATGAAAACCTGGATCGTTGAAAAACTTTTCACATCGGAACCTGTAGAATTTTATTCATATGATATCAACGAGCTGCATGGTAAATTGCAACAAGTTCCAGCAAATAATGGTGAATATATAACTGAATAAAATATAATTGTACTTTAGTTTTTTACGAATAAAATTGATAGATAAAAATGGAAAGTATGGCGCAAGCTAATATTTTCTTGCTGGTCAATTCAGTTTTCTTCATTATTACATTTTGAGCTTTCTTAAATCTCTTTTTGTAACTTTATTAAAGTCATTATACTTTTCTTATTCTTATCTTTCGAATCTTTTCAAAGTCTTTTTTTGGTTACCCCGTTATATCTCTTTAAGTGTTTCACAATTTCTGATGTGTTTTTCCATCACTGAATAATTTTACAATACTTTGTTTCTCTTGTCGACCCAATTTCACTCACACTTAGTCATAGGGTATCGAGCTGTTGTGTGAGATCGTGCCAGATAATTTCTCTTGCTGCAATCCATCTTGCACATTTATCTCTATCTTTAAAAGGCATGGTGTGTGTGTGTGTGTGTGTGTGTGTGTGTGTGTAACGAATTCACGGCTGCAATTTTCGACGGATTTGCACCAAAATTTACATGCTCATGCTCCAAGTTAGCGGGAAGGCCAAGACCGACTTTGCATTTCCCAACTCGCATCAATAGTGGAAATAATCGATTTTTTCATGCTTCTACGGCAGTTTTCATGTTGTTTGCGGCCATTTTCTACTGGCCAGAGTCAGAGCCTATAGCTGGCTGCCACGAATAGGCAGGAAAATTCTATTGGCCAGCGTGAGAGCCAACAGCTGACTGACATGAATGTTAACTAGCATGCTAGCATGCAAAAAAAATCGATAGCTGCATTCGTCACAAGTGGGAAAAATTTCAATCTGCATGGCACTTTACTCCAATTGGCTCATTCGCTTGCTTAAACTCAACGTTGATTCTGATTCCGCAGAACTGGGTTGGGTGTGAAAAAGTAATTTGTTAATAGATTCTTTTTTCATTCGGTTTTCCAGTTACGAGTTTTTTTAAAGCTGATCGTTTTGTGTTCATTTTGTTTAGTTCTTTTTTTTCGTAACAGATTTAATGTTTTTAGTATAGAGCTTAGAAAAAATTCGCAGTGTGAGATAGGCAAGAAGTAAGGCATGTAGCAACATCAGCACGGCAAAGGGCACTCCTTTAAAAGCAAGGAAGGGCAAAAATATTTTAAGTCAAGTGATAGCGATTGCTGTATGAGTCGTACGGTTTTTGAATCAAGCACGGGCAACACCGGGCCATGCTGCTAGTAAATCTATAATTCTTCCCTGTATAGAATATTGTTGCCATGTCTAGCATGCAGTTCTGGTAATATATCTGGAGATTCTCAACAAAAGCCAAAGAAGGTCTGCATTGTTATCAGTCTTGATATGGCATCTCGACTTCAGTCATTTTCTCATAGTCGTGACGTAGCTTTCCTCTGTCTTTGCAATATATATTTTTATTGTCCTTGTCCTAATGAGTACCCCTCTTTAGTACCTCGACCACATGAATTCATGCATGCTACTCGATTGGCAACTAGGTCTCACCTTTTTACAGTTGAAAAAGCTATATGCAACCGTAAGTTTTATCCTAATAGTTTCTTTTGTACTTTTCGCCTGTGGAACTCTATTCCGGTTTCTAATTTTCCTGGCAAATACAATCTTCAAAAAATTAATTGCAACGTAACGCGCAATATTCTTCTACCCCGTTTCCTGTCATTTTGTTGGCCTCTCTTCTCACTAAATTTTTTTCTCATTCCCAGTCTTAGTGGCATTATCGCCTTGTTTTCGGAGAAACAAATAAAAATACATATAATGGCTGGCTACTTGTTTCTGAACAAACCCGTCCGCTAGCCAATCCCTGTTA